TCAAATTCTTATAATCAGTAATGGGAGAATTCATGGCCTGGAATATAACCCCCATTATTCCAGAGGTATAGTGTCACGGGGTGGAATGAAGGTCCCCCCCCCCCACTAAAAATACTGCCCCCACTGAAATTTTATTTCAGTCCTCATTTTTAGCATTTCAGTAAATTAAAATGCCCATTGAGCATTTATAAATACAATTCAGGCACCCAAAGCAAAGGAACAGGTACAGTTGCTAAGGAAATATAAATATAGAAAATGGAAGGATTCTGGAGATCAATAGTTTCAATGACTTTGCAATGCTAGTTATTTGGGTAATGAAGGAGAGTAAGAAAGAGGCAGAATTCTTATTTAAGGGCAATCCCCTCATTCTTCTCTCGCTACTGTTGGTTTTATGGCGTAATCCCAATACTCATTCTGGGTTCCAGTGTCAATTACAGAAAAATGGGCAGGTACATATTAGCACACAGAAATCCAACTTTATGCCTCTATGGTAATTAGGCAGGTCTTTTTAGACTTCCTAATCTAAGCATAGTAAAAATTCAATATCATGATCATGTAAATCAGCTAAATCAATCTTGTAGGGCTGGGCGGTTTCGTTTCGTTAATTCGTAATTCGTTAATAATTCGTTAATTTTTTCAATTACAAAACGATAACGAACCATTCTGGAGCAATCATTAAAAAAACGAATTTTCAAAAACGTTTGTAAATGCTTCGTATTTCGATATTGTATTCGTTTCGTTATTGTTTTGAGGTCGTTTCGTTATTATTTCCGCATGTCTGGGCCAGTTTTATGGTTTAATTAGTGAAACAAAATTATAATATCACACCAACAGTCAACAACAGAGGGAGAGGGAAGCTTCAGAAGGTTTTGGAGGTTTTTTAGCGTATTTCGCGGTCGCGGCCGCCATTAACGAATCGATTCGTTATTGTTTCGGAAATCGATTCGTTAATTTTTTACCATTTACGAAATTTCGTAAATATCGAACTTTTTAAAAGTAAAATTTTGTAATTATTTTAAATATCGAAACAAAAAAACCCCCCAAATACAAATCGATTTTAGAAACAAATTTTTCCGTTGTTACCCAGGCCTACAATCTTGCTCCTTTTCCACCATTAAGGAAATTCAATTCAGCTTGAAACATGGCCCAAAAATAGTTCATTTAGGAAATGTTTCTTGTGCTTATTGAGGTGCAGCTGTAAATATCCTTAAGGTTCCTGATCCTGTCTGGTTGGAAGCTGAGCACGGTCAGCCCTGGAAGTACATTGATGGGAGACAGCCATCAAATATCAGGTGCTGTAGGCTATATTTCAGAAGAAAGATCTGGTAAAACTATCTCTGTGTATTCCTTGCCTAAGAAAATCCTATGAAATTATTGAGTCGCCATAAGTTGACAAGCAACTTGAAGTAGATACATGTGCACACTGGTTTGCAAGACTGTCCACTGGTTTATAATCCAAGGCTCCAAATGTAGGAAATATCCACCCTATTTATACTTTAAAAAAACCCATGAAGCACTCTAAACAGTGGAATAAGAGGCTTAAAACGTTCAGGTGTATCTTCCTGCATTACTTTCCTGGTTGTGTGCCAGCAAGCTATCCATGTTTAATTTGTTTAAATGAACGAGAACAATTGGAGCCTATAGTGATGGTACTCTATCTCATGAAAGATTTTAAGAGGGTCAGAATGAAATGTGAACCCTTAGTCTCTCAAGCATAGCATCTTCTTTGGAGACATTAATAAGAGATTAATTCTTCCTTGCATTCCCTGTTCTTTTATCTCCTTGAGCAACTATGTTCGCAGAAGGAATTATCTTTGAAGGCAAGGGTTTAACAATGCTGAGAAAACAATTACATAATAATGTTTTGGTCTAATAAGCACCAGAAATCTACCAAAATATGGGTACATGGTAGGATCATATAATGAGCATTCGTTGAAGTGCAAAGAGATCTGTTTTATGACTCCTATTGCAGCTATACAAATGGGGTTCAAAAACCAGAGTGAAAAAACCTTAACAATAATACTTGGATATCTAGTAGAAAATCAATGAGAAAGGAAAGGATATACCTAATAAGAATTTATAACACTGACATGACTATCAATCTGTGAAATATTTATTTCATTCACCGTTTTCCATTCTGCAGAAAACAAATAGAGAACAAATTGACCCAATTCTGACTTTGTACTTTATAAGTGTTTGGCCTTCTAACCCATACTACACTAGATCTCCTTTTGAGTCATTGGGAGCAACAATAGATGTGAATTCTCCCAGAAACTGGTAGGTTGACTTCATGGCATCTGCATTTGAAATACCTCTTCGCAATCTCTTTCCCCCATGTTCTTGATACTACTTTAATAGTTTTCTTCAATGGAAGGAGTGAGCAAAATATTTTTAGCTCTGCATAACAGATATTCAGAGGGCCTCATTGCTCCTTAGAATATCTATATTTCAATGCTCTTCCTTGACATTCTGCTTTATTTGTGAATACCGAACCTCTGTTCATACACAGAGGTTACTTTGAAGTCACTCATAGGCCAGATGTTACTTTGAAGTCACTCATAGGCCTATTCAATTCTATGGCTTAATGTAAATTCTGTTCCTTCCCATAAAAGATTGGTTTTATGCACAATATATGCACAATCTCAATCCACTGGCAAGAAGGAGTTGTACAGTTAATATAAACTTTAAATAAATGAATACACTCCAGAATCTCATTTTCCTTCAAATTTGTTGAGAACATTGATCAGTGCCAAATGAGTCATAGTTTTATAGTTCATAGAGTGTCCATTCAAGTGTTGGCAATTCATTATGTTAATGTTTATGTAATACGTGAATAATATTTGCACAGTGCATATATTTAGATACATTTAAATACAGGTTGACTATCCCTTATTTGGAATTCCAAAATCCAAAATACTCCAAAATTCAGAATTGCCCATATGGTGGCTGGGAAAGTAACACTTTTGCTTTCTGAGTTTTCAATGTATATTAGTAATTTTGTTTCATCGACAAAATTACTAAAGAGGTTGTTTATCAATTTATCTGCAGCCTATGTGTAATAAAGTACATATGAAATAAATGAGTTTCTCATTTTGACTTGAATCCCATCTTCCAGATATCTCATTTCCACACACAGACAAATACACATATTTTAAAAAAACAAAACCCTAAAATTCAAAATATGGAACATTTTTTGTTCCAAGCAGTAGAGATGTATTCATTTTAAAAAATAAAAGAAAACACTTACATAGCAATTAAATGATCATATGGAACCAGTCTGATGGCTGCATTCTAGCAATTTGGCAGAAAAGGGTGGTTTTAATATCAGAGTAGCACCATTCAAAATAATTATGAAGCAAACCTATTCAGTCATACTAATAATGATATGATAGTTGTAAAAATAATAATACTTTTTTCAAATAGTTCCTAATTCTGGATGGGGTTGCATTTCCCTTGAAAGACTGTGTTTGCAGCTTGCGAGTACTCTGGATCCATCACTCCAAATGTCAGCTCAGGTAGATGCGATGGTTAGAAGTCCTTAATACCAGCATCAGTGGCTACACCAGTTGCACCCCTTCCTAGAACAGGAGTACCGAAAGATGATAGTGCACATGTTGGTAACCTCAAAGTTGGACCTCTGTGATGCACTTTACATTGGGCTACCTCCATACCAATTTCAGAAACTCCAATTAGTTCAAAACATGTATATGTTTTAATATGTTTTTATGGAATTTATTTTAGTATTATGTTGTATTTTAACTATTTTGTGCCCCATCTCAAGCTATAAGGAGAGGTGGGTACTAAATAAATAAATAAATAAATAAATAAATAAATAAAATTATCATTATTACTCTAATATAGCTACAATGTTCTGATGGGTGGGGTTGGGGAATCACAATTTGAACCTTATATACTAATTATGCAATTATAATAGGTATGCAATAGAATGTAGTAGAAAGCTGGAACTGGTAGAATGCCCTTATTCCTCTCAGGTTATTGTTGCCAAATCCCATTTCAATATACCTGCACATTTGAAAAGTGTGTGTGTGTGTGTGTATCCAGCTCCATAAGTTTTTTCTATCAGGCTTGTTTTCCAAACCTATGATCATTAAGATCAACCCCTTCTGAACATTCCAGCTTATCAATATCCTTCTTGACTTGTGCTCCATTCAAGCACATTATTAGTGGTATTTCTGACTCTTAAAAATAACTCCTTCTACTTATCTTGACTAGAAATGTGCTGGAAAAAAGCCACACTTTGCTTATAGGAGAAGTTTAGATGGGTAGTAGCATCCAACTGGTGTCTCCAGTTGAAGTTACATCATTTCTTCTTTATAGACTTTTTGATACCACATAAAGATCTTTTAATCCTCTATTCTATAATTGGACCTGCTGATTGACTTTAATTATTCCTCCATTGTGAGCAGTCCAAGACAAATCACCAAAGTAAATAAATAATTTGGAGTGCACTTTTTCAAAACCTACACAGAAATGTAAGCTTTTTTTTGTTCATTAGAAAATCCCCCAAGTTTTTTTTTTGTAAAGCTACAGTGATATGGTTTTTGGTTTTCCAAAGATTCTTCCTTCAATTGGCCGTTTATTTAGAGAAAAGGAGGGAGGTACAACATACCATCAGTGGACATGTTATAAATCCCATCTGCACATTAAAAGCTCTTGTCAAACACTTTAAGATAGGAACTCAGGATCACTGTAGACTCATTAACTTATACTGAAATGGGTGGATATGCACTCTAATTATTTCTGAGTTCTCCTCTCTTTAGATCTTATATTGCCCCTGCTGACTCATACAAAACAGATTAATGGGAAATATATTGGCTTGGTACCCCAGAAATGCTCTTTAATGTTTAGAATCAACAATTGGAAACTTCTTATTCAGTTCTTCGATTTGATGTGGCTTTGATAGACTAAAATTTTTCAATTTTACTTGTCTTTAGAATTTGGCTTTACTACTCATTTGTCTGTGGCTCTTTCACCAATAGGACTGATGCTTATGTACATGCATGATGACACAGAAAGCCTAGAGGATAGCTTCACCGTTCGGCTGACAGATGGCAAGCACACAGTCCAAGGGACACTTTACATCTACATCATGCCAGTCAACGATGAAATCCCTCATCTTTCCAGGTTAGCTGTTGAAGTGACATTCTATGCAAAGTGACTTTAGGAGATATTGGTGGGGGGGGGGGGAGAGCATTTTATCCTTCTTTAATTGTTAACTTGTTTTCTGAATTGTTTATTGGCAAGACGATGGGGGCATTGCTTTATGCCATGAGTCTCTTTGTCTTAATTCTCATTTCTTACAAAAAATGGCCTGTTACAATTATGATGAAGAAATGGAAATTAATTAACTTTTATCAAAGAATTAAAATAGAAAACATTAAATTCTTTAGTAAGCTGTGCATCAGGAAGGCAAGCTGTAGGGACACAATTGCATGGTAGCAACACGATGCTGCCTGAATGATCTGGAGAGATTCTCAAGAATGAAGAGAAGGGCAGTTATCAAAAGATGGCAATTCACAGATAATAAATAATAATAATAATAATAATAATAAATCTTTATTTGTACCCCACCACCATCTCCCCAGAGGGACTCAGGGTGGCTTACAGAAGCACTCCAAGTGCCACACGCAGAAAACAATACATAAGCACAACCACAATGACAAAAGTACAATCAATAGTGCATAAAAATCTCATCAATAATTTCACAAAAATTGTAAAAACATAAAATTCCTAAAAAGCAGTGGAACCTGTGGGCTGGCATAAAAATCATTCAAAGTGTGGGCCAGTACTATCAGTGATTCATCACATTGGCCATGGATTACTCAGGATTAAAGACCTGACTGAAGTTTTTATACTCACTCGGAAGTCCTGAAGAGAAGGACTAATCTAATTTCTTTAGGGAAGGTATTCCAGAGCTGGAGACATACCACTGAGAAGGCTCTTTCTCTCATCTCCACCAACCGTGTGTGGTGGGACTGAAAGAAGGGCCTCCCCAGCAGATCTTAATGCCTCTGCCAGTTTGTAGAAGGATACACAGTCTCAAAGATAGCTTGGACCTGAAACATATAAGCTTTATAGCTTGGACCTGAAGCATATAGGCTTTATCTAATCACCTGCACTTTGAATTGGACCCAGAAACTTATTGGGAGCCAGTGAAGCTGCTTAAAAAAAAGGGGGGGGGGGTGGTATGCTCCCTAAAGCCTGCCCCAGTTAATAATCTGGCTGCCACTCTGCACTAGCTGCAGTTTCCGAGTCAGCTTCAAAGGCAGCCCCATATAGAGTGCATTACAATAGTCCATTCTGGATTTAACTGAGGCATGGACCACCATGGCCAAGTCAGGCTTTTCAAGGTACGGTCAGAGCTGGTGCACAAGTTTTAACTGTGCATGGCCCTCCTAGCCATAGCAGACATCTGATCCTCAAGCATCAGCAAAGAATCCAGGAGAACCCCCAGACTGTGGGCCTGTGCCCTCAGGGGAAGTGTGACCCCGTCGAGCACAGGCAGCCACCCTATACCCCAATCAGCCTCATGGCTGACCAGGAAGACCTCTGTCTTGTCTGGATTAAGCCACAGCTTGTAGGTCCTCATCCAATCCATCACAGCTCAGTTCCATGACCAGGTCTGAAACCAGACTGCGAGGGATCAAGATAATCAAGAATTCCTGGTGCTGAGAAGCCACCACCAGCTCCAGAACCTTGCCCCCAAAAAAGAAGATTTGAAATACGCCGGTTGTTGTTTAATATAGTGGAATCCAGGGACATTTTTTAAGAATAGGCTTTACAATTGCCTTTTTAAAATTGGATGGTAAATGTCCCTGGTACAGTGAGGAATTAATAATCCACGAAAACCACTCGGCCAGTCCCCCACTGTTGAGTTTGATGAGCCAGGAAGGGTAAGGATCTAGAGCACAAGAGGTCACTCTCACAGCTCCAAGAATCTTGTCCATGTCATCAAGCCGAACATGCTCAAAAGAATCCAATAAAATAGGACAGACAGATGAAGTGGTTGAGCAATCTGAATTTTTGTAGTATAATGTGAGTGGGTGGTGTCACTGCAAAAGGCATTCAAGGGCCCCTTTCACATAATAAAACTATATGATTCCACTTTAACTGCCTCAGCAATATCTTAGGGAATGTACCCTTGAGGAGCAGTATTTAGGATTCTCACCAAAGTGCTTCAGTGCTTCACCAAACGATAAATCTCAGAGGACTAAACGCATGCTGACTATAGTCATGATTTGATCCATAAAACAAACTTGTGTGGCTCTTCTCCAACTCTGTCCTCATGCAAGATATAGGGAACGGAAAGGGTTGAAATGCTGAAGCATGTATGGAAATTTTATCTCTGTATCCTTGAAAATGGGTGATTTGTAGACAATCACTTTCAAAACTAAATTTTAACATGCATTCAGGGTATCAACCTATGGTATCAACCTATGGATTTCTTCTAGAAATCCTAGAATTTGTACTTTAGTGAGGTACTTAGAATTCTCTGTAGATAGGCACATGAGCTCTCCAATGGAGAATTCGAAGTCCTTCAAAATGTTGTAACTCTCAGGATTCCATGAACTGGACCCATAGTAAACAATGTGACACGCAGCTGTAATCATGCGTACTTCTCAAGTGTCCCAGTTTGCCCCAAACAGTCCAGATTCATCCTGAGTCATCCCACTTTTATACCTCACACCTTCATCTCTTCCTCATACATTCACCCTTTGTATTCTCTTTACTGCTAAAGCTTCTCCTAGCTCATAAAATGTTGCCATTTCAACCATTCTCTGATGTTGCATGGACACACAAGGCTTGGTTTTCATCTGTGAAATGTTGGAGAGTGTGATGATAATGCAATGGGATCAAGATGCATAGAACACCAAAAGTAGGAAAAGGAAGAAAATGTCAAACACATTTCTCTATATCCCTGACATTGCAGTAACAAAGTTGTTTTTTTTCCCTTGCTGCCCTTCCTTATCACCCAAGGTTTTTGCATCATTTAGCTCTGACCATTCTTTCAACTGCAGCACAGTGCAGAACATGCTGGCTTATAGACAAACATCTATTAATATTTCCCAAACATCTATTTCTCAAACATCTATTCATATTCATCACATAGTGTAGCACCTGTAAAGCCTAACCTCTAATGGGCCAGCCATGCTCCAACCTCATAGCATATAATATTACAACTATTCTGTAACACAGCCCAACAAAAAAGCCTTAGTGTCTTGGTTTTATGCCTGGGGGTTTTTGGGTGCTGATTCAGAAACTTGCATGGGATGGACCGCATTAGCTCTAATTCCTTAGATATGATTATAACCCCACACACTCTACGTGGGGTTGCCTTTGAAGACTGTTTAGAAGCTTCAAATGGGCCAACGGGTGGCAGTCAGGTTGCTAACTGGCACAACTCCTCTGATGTGCCATTGGCTGCCAGTTTGCTACTGGGCACAATTCAAAGCCTATAAAGCCCTGAACGGTTTTGGCCCAGCTTACCTATCTGATCATATCTTTCCTTATGAACCATCTAGGACTTTAAGATCTTCTGGGGAGGCCCTGCTCTCGGTGTTGCCTCCTTCGCAGAGGCATTTGGCGGGGACGAGAGACAGGGCCTTCTCAGTGGTGGCCCTTCGGCTGTGGAATGCCCTGCCTAGGGATATAAAATCAGCCCCTCCCTTCTGACATTCTAAAAAAGGTTAAAACATGGCTTTTTGAGCAAGCGTTCGCAAATGCAGCATAATTATATGAAATCATTGAATAACTTGATGATTTAATTGGATAATGACTTTGGCAAGAAGATGCTCTTGACAATGTTTTTATGACTTTGTACATTTTAAATATTTTATGCTAAATGTTTTAACAGTATTTTATGATTGTTTTAATTGTTTTATAATTGTTGAGGCATCAAATTGTTGCCAACTGTGAATCGCCTTGAGTCGCCTCCGGGTTGAGAAAGACAGTATGCAAATATGGCAAATAAATAAATAAATAAATAAATAAATATAATGATTTTCTATGGGCAAACAGATAAAGACTGGTATATGGCATATGTTCTGCATCTAACTAGAGCTAATAGTGCTACCAGGTCAAATATACTCAGGAACAGGTTTGAGGCACCAGTGTTTTTGTTTAATAATAGAATTTCTGGGACTGGGAGATTGTGATTTGCCCAAGGTTACCCAGATTTTCAAAATGTAGTCCAGTGCTCACACCAATATACCACACTAACAATGCAGAATGGTAAATGGAGTAGAGAGAGTTTTCCAGTTTATTTGAATGCAGGTAATTGCTATAAATATGTGCTACGTTTGTTCTGAAAATCCATTAATATATAAAGGGTGTTTTAAAAAGCCTTAATCTATGACAAGTCTTTAATGATGAGTTTGAACCCAATGAATAACTAAGCTCAAACAGAGATGTATATATTTGTGCATCCTTTCTCTCTATTCCTTAGATTCATATTCCCTGACTGAAATCAGCACTGGATTTATCCAGGATTCTTCTGACCAAGAATTCAGTTCCTGTTTTGAAATAGAGGAACATTTTGGCATTTTGTACATGTAAACTACCACGACTAAGTTAAGATTTCATTCCTGGCCCCAAAAGAAGCATTTTGTGTTTCTGATAGTAATTTAGATCTGAGGCCCCATCAACCATATAATCCAGTTTCCGTTTCCAGATTATCTGTTTTTAAATGGATTATATGGCAGTGTAGACTCATATCCAATTCAAAGCAGATAATCTGGGACCAGATACTGGATTATATAGCAGCATAGATCCAGCCTGACGTTAATAGACCAGCTCCAGTTATATAGCTTACTTTCTTCATTTAAGAAAATAAATCAGAAGAGACAAATAGCAAGAAAGGGTTTTTGCATATCTAGAGTGTGGGGAGTACTGCATGTGAAATAAAAATGAAGCTTATACTATTCTTCAAAGTTTAGAATGAATTCTGAATTGCTGTGCTTCTCCTTTCCTCCTCTTCTGTGGACATATCCCTTTCTGACATGCCAGGAACACAGGCTTGGAAGTTGAAGTTGGGGGCAGTAAAGTTATTTCCAGCATGTCATTAGAAGTGGAAGACAAAGATTCTCCAAGAAGTCAACTTCAGTATGTCATCAACAACAAGCCAAAATGGGGACACCTCAAATTAAAGGTAGTAATGATTTTCAGTATTCCCCCCTCTCTTTCCCCCTGTCATCATGTGGTATTCTATGTCTGCTATTTTAAAAAGTGGACATGCTTGAATTATTTCCAGTTCCTGTGGTGTGGCCTAGTCATTAACACATAATCTTTAAATATTTACTGAACTGTATTCTTGGGAAATATGATGCTGTGAGGGGGGAAAATGAAGGACTGCAGGTGCTATTTTAGAGGAAGAAACTGGCAAAACCACTTGTGCATATCCCTTGCCTAAGTAAACCATATGAATGTATGGGGTCATTATAAATTGACAGGCAACTTGAAGGTGCACACACACACACAATTGGATATGAACCCTGTTGGCTCAGGCATGCATCACAAAATGGTTCAAAGTTGTTCTGTCATATACACTTTGCCCCTGATTGTCCTCTCGCATTTGGTGGAAGCCTTTTGTAGTTTTTTTTAAAATAGTGGTCATGGTGACCACTCAACACCTTCCAGTTTTTCACAGATGAAAACCAGGATATATATGGCTAGGCAACATCAATAAGTGGTCAAGATAACAAAAGGTTATAAATGAGGAAGAACACACAACCCAGCTTTTCCCTATCCTGACTGATGCAGATTCAGTATGTACAGATCCAGCAGTGACAGTAAGGAAATTTTTCTGTCATTTTTGGGGGAGAGGATTGGGGTGCAGACAGGGAAGGAAGGCACTGTCATTCCACCTCTAGGGAACACAGGATTGCACTGGGGACGCATTATGAGATTGCACAAGGCAATCATTTTGGCAGTCCCCACTGCAAAAACTCTGACAAAGATCCAGATCTTCCTGGAATATTTGAAACTTGCTGTTGTGTTTTAAACCTGGGATCAAACTGGATTAAATGGCTTAAACTGGATGAGAGTGCATTAGTTCAGATCTTCCTGGAATATTTTGATTTTTACGGGTGCTTTTTTAAAAAACCTGGGGTTAAACTGGAGTAAATTGTTTAACCTGGGTTAAAGCGCATTAGCTTGTGTGTGCCATTTGGATGCACCAGGTTAATGTGTTTCCTACACTGGATTATATGGTAGTATAAGTGCAGCCCACAAGAAGCTGCAACAATTTAGCCTGAGCCTACAAAGACAATGTCTCATTTCCCCTTTTCTTCTCCCTGATGGAGTGCAAACTACTTTTGCACTTTTAACTCAATACAAAAGTGATACTGACATTCATTTTGGAGATCAATTGTGTGCACAATACTTCTTGGGAGGAGAGCAATGTCCAGTCTCGATAAAATAGTAAAGAGTAGAGACATCAGACTGGCAACAAAGATCCGCCTAGTCAAAGCCATGGTATTCCCTGTAGTTACCTACGGATGGGAGAGCTGGACCTTAGGGAAGGCTGAGCGAAGGAAGGTTGATGCTTTTGAGCTGTGGTGTTGGAGGAAAGTGCTGAGAGTGCCTTGGACTGCGAGAAGATCCAACCAGTCCATCCTCCAGGAAATAAAGCCCGACTGCTCACTGGAGGGAAAGATACTAGAGACAAAGTTGAAGTACTTTGGCCACATCATGAGGAGACAGGAAAGCCTAGAGAAGACAATTATGCTGGGGAAAGTGGAAGGCAAAAGGAAGAGGGGCCGACCAAGGGCAAGATGGATGGATGGCATCCTTGAAGTGACTGGACTGACCTTGAGGGAGCTGAGGGTGGTAACGGCCGACAGGGAGCTCTGGCGTGGGCTGGTCCATGAGGTCACGAAGAGTCGGAGACGACTGAACGAATGAACAACAACAACATGTCATGATTGGGAAAGAAGCACTTCATAAAATGTTTCATCATCTACATTATGACCATTTCCTTTCTCAGCCACCACCCTGTGCAGCAGTTGGGTTTTTAAAAGGACCTTTATTGATAGATGCAAAAGATTTTTTTAAAAGTGATATAATGGGGGACAACATTGACATAATGGGGGACAATTTTCAGGTATTATAGCTAGGGATAGAAGAAGTAACTTTGTGGGCACACCTACTGCCAAATGGGAGCTCTCCTCCCGCAAGTATTATTGCTATGAGGGCTGGACCAAGGAGGAAAAGCAAGAAGGAAGAGAAAGGTGAGAGGAGGAAGAGAACGGGGGAAAGAAGTGGAAGGCCAAGGGGAAACCAAAAATATGAGAGGAAAGGGAAATGGGAGAAGGTGGATGAATGGGTGAATTATGGGTGAATGAGTGTGTGAGTGGATGTCTGAAAGAATGAATGGATACTTTCTCACCAATTCATCCCCATTTAACTCTGTCCGCAAAAGTTCCTATACTTTGATGTCTAATTCTGTGGCTTTTCAAGTGTGCACTCTTTGCAGCTATACCAAAACATCTTAGCGGGCTTTTATATTGGTTAGCTAAAACACTAGGATATAATCTTTCTTTTATAATTAAGTAACCTGAGAAATCTGTTGGGAATAATAAATTCTGAGAACTCTTACATAAAACAGTATAAAGTGGATAGTCTTGCCATCAGAAGCCCATAAAAGTCAATGACTTTATATGACACCTCTACAAATGGCATTATGTCATTGCATAATATTAGTAGGAAACTAAGATTTTTGTGCAAAACCATAAAAAGTAATGAGTTTCACATAATCTACTCATATAAATGGAGAGCGAGGGAGACTTTTTAAAGTGGACTTCCAGCTTTTTGGCATCCTTCGAACATAATGAAATTTGGAACCTAGCTCAAAAATAATGAAACATTTCAGTGGCTACACCATGTGGTTGTTTCCTTTTGGTTGGTGGGAACATACACCTCAACTTTTTAAAACTGTTCAACTGGTGGTCTTAAGAGGGGAGGGAATGGCCAAGGATCTGAAAATGGAAAATTCTAAGGGAGCCAAAAAGGTTTTGTTTTAGCTGAGCTAAGGCACTATATGTTACTTGTTATATTTGCTGTGGTACCCAATAAATGAAGTTAGAATATCCTCATAGATTCTGTGGCAATGATTTTCAGTTCTTCTTGTTTTCCTTCTTTTAAATGCGTACATGTATAAATGGCCAGTTGGAAGAAATCCTGTAAAGTTGAGTGCTGAAATTTCATTAATTTAGTAAGAGGAAGGAAATGATCGTCGCATTGAGGTGTGTTTACAGTTATAAATATTTTAGTTATGTGAACATTAAATATGAGCTGAAAGAAATGGATTTACAACTTTTCCATCATTGCAATGTGTATACATAAACAAATATGGGCATGATCCAATGTAGGAAGGTGACCATGAATGGAGTTTATATAGCTTTGAAAAGTGTTCTCATACACATTTAAGAAAAAAAATGCCTGTAAATGTAAGGGTGTCAGAACACATTTTTTTTAAAAAAAATGAAAACTCCCGAAATCATCTAACATCTCTTTGAGATTACAGCAAAAACTTGAATTGCTTAGATATTTTATTTTATCAATGAATCCAAATATAAACTTGCATTTTGCTTCCTTATTGGACTATTGGACAAGTGGTATTGTTAAGCAGTGTATATTGTGTGTTCATGTCTTCAAAAATGTATCTGCAAAATCCATAATATCCAGCCTGCCAGAAATCTTTGAAGCAAAGGTTTATGAAGGAATCAAAGCTATCCAGACACTGATATCAATGATCACTAAAAGAGTCCCAGACATTTACCCTGAAAGTCTGGCCTTGACAGGCATGAAAAGTTAGTATAACAGCTCCAATGAAAGACCTCAAAGCATTTGACCTACTCATATCATGCAGGAGTGGGTGAAAGCAGGGTGGTTGTGGGGAGGGGGGAGAGAGGGGGGGAGAGGGAGAGATCTAAGAGAGCAGGAAATGGAGGGTGAACTGTTGAAAGTATTTAACACTATATAATAATAAATGTAGAAAAAAACAGTTCAAGAGTTCATTGCTGTACACTATACATAGATATACTGTTCTTATTCAATCCTAATTTGTGCCTAATATGGTGTTTTCTTGGCAAGCTGGTTCACGGGGGGTTACCTTTATCTTCCTCAGAGTCAGAAAAGTGCAACTTGTCCAAGATCACCTAGTGGATTTCCATGTCTAAGCAGAAGTTCAACACCTGGTCTCTAGATTTATAGTCCAATGCTCAAGCAACTACATTACACTGGTTCTCGCAGTTATATACAGTTTTATGTAAAAACAGGCAATAGAAAATGCAACCCATAAAGGAGAAATGCTGAAGATTCATAGTTTCCCCCTTTCCCTTAAAAGCCCTACCATCCATATGTGAATTTCCAGCACAATTTGAAAATAGATCCAAATTAAGTTCTATTCAGATTGTTTTTGTGGTACAACTGGGTAGCAGCACATTAAAATTTGAACCCAAAACATTTCTTATGTAGTAAGTAGATGAGGAACAGAGAATAGAGCTGGTGAGAAAGTTCAAATATTATGCAGACCTGTTCACATAGCTGGCAATGAAGATCATTTGGCAAAAGTTAGGAGATGGTATAAATATTCCTGAAGAACAGAGCTTTTGTGAGGAACAAATGTGTTTTGAAAATGCTGCCACACTGAAGAATCTCAGCTATATATATATTTTAAAATAAAGTTTTCAGCTTCTCACATTGTCTATTTTGAGAATTTTATATTTACTTAAGGAGCACAATGCATCAAACATTGGTTGCTTTTTAGTCTCTTTATATACATACAAGCATATCATACTGTCATGGTACAGCTGAATTCACTAACAGTTACAGAAGTAAGACTGAAAATAACAAAGCTGGTTTTGGTCTTAGCATTATTCATGTGAAAGCAGCAGGTTGAACATGGGTGAGATTATTGGATTTCAGTTCCCATCATATAATGCAGTTTCTTAATGCAATTTAGCTTCACTGAACTGCATTATATGACATGGTAGATTCATGTAATGCAGTTCAATGCAGTTAAACTGCATTTTGAAACTGCATTATATGGCAGTGTAGATGGTGCCGAATTGTTGACTCTGCTGGCTAAATCTGATATGAGTTTGCAGTCCTACAGTAACAGAGAGAGGACCACACATTATCTACTCCAGATACTGAAGATTCCCAACACATTTCCACATCCTGTGGGGCACTACACATGTTTGGGAACCATGAATTCCAGTGTCATTTCACAACTGCAAGGAGAGGTGGGTAATACATAAAAATGTTAACGTTGATGTTGGAACCATATTCAGGCAACATTGTCATGTTTCACTAAAAGAAAGCCTGCACAAATGAAGAAGGGGGGATGAGAACCAGAATAAGGCAGAAGCACTTCACCATCTTGTGTGACATAACTTAAAAATGCAGATAGCAAGACCCAGGCTACTTAACTGCTGGCTATATATTAGATCAGCAGAGAACAATAGTGCTTAATTCTCTGTAACATCTATGGCTTCCTGGGTCTCTAACCTTTGGTGTTTACTTCTGGTGTAATCTTCCTGGCATTTTCAATCCTGACTTGAACTCTGCTCAAGACTGCTTTTCTCTCATTTAATCCTAGTAATGTGATTGCCATACAACATATTGTCAGTCTGTGTGTGCCTTGGGACTCATTTATTTTATTTTGGGGCAATCACATTACTTGCTCAGTCTGTAAAATGGGTCTTTTTTGGATCTGTAAATAGGCAGCAATCAAGGGGTTTTTGATGAAAATGAAAGATTGCTGCTTTGGCTTTTTATATTACATTCATATTGCTCAGGAAAGGTTGTGATATTTGGCTCATGCCTTGCATGGGTGGTTGATGACAATGCCAAACAAGGTTAACTTCTGGCTGATGGTGAGAGAACATAGGATTTTGGACAGAAGGGCTGATTGTGTGTAGAGGTCCTGTATCAATGCCAACTGTTTGAGACTGCTGATGGTTAGTGTTAAGACACCCTCTAGCTTCTATTATGATGGCATCTAATTATCTTGAATCATGTCTTGGAAAGAAACCAGATTCTAGTGAGCTAGCAAATGCACATTAAACACCTGGGTATTGGCTATGAACATCAGGGTGTGCTACAATGGATCCATCTGCATCTCTTGGCATATACCAGAACTTTTTCTGTATCACTGGTTGGAAAGCAGGATCCAAAAAGAGACAGATTATTGATGCTTGTATAAAAGGCATACAGGGAAAGAAACTGTTTTGGAAGTCATGCCAGTAAGTTAGGTAAACCTGTATGTGTTTTCCCAACCGGTAATGTTTGGTAAATAAGTAATGGATAATTATCAGGTCAGTAAATACTTTCAGCAGAAGAAAAAACAATATATAGAAGCATTTATTCAGTGTGTCATGTTTTCAGAGAACTCAGTAAGCCAGTATAATGTCAGACTTCAGCAGAGAGAACCAGTCTCACATCTCCATTTAGAAAGGAGCATCCAATGGACTAAACAGTTGTTTTTTGAATGGTTTCTACAGGAGGATTAAAATGTGAATGACCATGTAGAAATCACCTAGAAGGAAGTGTGTGACACAGCTATGATCAAACCCAAATAAGTCTTTAAAAAGTCAATATTAAATAATGTCTTACATTTGTAATACTTTTGTAAGTATATTTGTAAGTATCTTACGGAGATGTCAGGTGACTTATGCATGTGAATACTGACTTTCTATCATAGATGTTGGCTTCCCTCAGATATTTAGTCATTAATGGACTATCTGACAGATGAGTTAAAAACTCATTCCTATTCTATTGTATTTCTCACAGTGACTTCTGTGATATCCACGAAGCCCTTCATAATGTAGCCAATGGCTGATTCACAATATTTTGCTCCTGGGAGGCAGAGCAGCAAATATACCTCCCAGGTAAACCTAAAGTAGAGGTGTTTTTGGGGGGTATCAGACAGAAATTCCTACAAATGATTTTTCCTGCCCCCAACAAAGCAAATCAGAAAAAAAGTCTGTTGGCACTGCTGGAGTAGACTATTAACAGGACAGGATCACATGGATTTGTACTCACTACTTCTTCCCTAGGTTTGATTGCCCCAGTTTGCTGGTATAGAGGTAGGTGGGGACATAAGTCATTTATCAGCCCTGGAACTTTGATTACTTGGTTAAAGAGCGGCACTCTGAACATATGCGAAGATGGACATCAATTTTGTGTATGTATATGCACGTACATATACTGTTTTGTTTCTAGCTACTTACTCCACAATGCTTTTCCCCCCCAGACTGCATCAGCTTGGAGCACTCTGCATCCTGGAATGAATTTCACTCAAGATGATGTGGACATGAACCGCCTCTGGTATTTCCATACTAACATCCTGATTCCAGAAAGTCATGACAGCTTCCGATTTTATGTGACAGATGGGCAAAATAGCTCTCCACCAGGAAGTTTCTATATGTTCATTAAAAGTATGGAGAAAGGTATGAAATGAGAGTAGTTATGTAGGTTATTCAGTAGGGAAGCCAAACTGTTGCAGAGGGAATGCAGAAGAGGGAACTACCCCCATATATTCTTATGTGGCACTGGTGTAGTTTTAAATGCATGGGTGAAGTTTGTACTTCAGCAATCTCTAAAGGATGCCATCTCTTTCCAGTATTGTGATAAACATGCTAATTAGAATCCAATCCATTATGCGCATAACTAATTGCATAAGTTTACAAATCTGTTGACTATAATGACTCCTGTCCCCAGTGTGTGTTTGTGACTACTGACCAAAAGGAAGAGTTCAATTCCAAAACTGCCTTCCGTGAAAAAATCTAGGGTTAGATCCCAACTGAGTTTCAAAGCTGTCAGGAATCTAGCTAATTCAAGACTTAAAGACAAGTTATGAGATGTCCTTAGAAGATTTTAGGGACCTTTTACAGATGGGAGGAAGAGGGTGTTATGAGCAAAATTGACTGCCTCACTTTTCTAAGCTGAGGTGTCAGGAGAGTGGATGAAAACTGACAAAATCAAAGGAAAGTAACTGTGTGAGGCCTGCTTCAAGTATTGTTGTTAAGTCCATTTGGAAATGAATAGAAATCACAATGAGACACACAGGAGTCCCTGGAGTGTGAAATACTTCTAAATTTGTGCCAGGTGGCTGTAGTTATTGAACATAGGTTTTTGTGAAATAGTGCTCCTGTCACAAAGAAGATTGGCATAAAAGAAGTGGAAGCGCCTAAATCTCTGGGGGTCTTCTTTGGCGAAAACCCTCTATTGAGTCCTCCTGTGACTTGTGCTCATAACTGCTGAGGAAAACAGGGATGCCATCTGTAAACTGTGATTCATAAACACACTGTCAATCTGCCACGTTACCCTGACATCATAAAATAACAAGGAGCAGCATTGTAATAAAGAGGGGAGGCTTGCAATCAACCAATTAAATGCATCTAATTTATTTTCTGTTACAGCTGAGGCTTTATTTATTAGTAAACAGCTGCATTTATTACAGGGATTTAAAAAAGGAATCCAGGAAGCCGCCAACTGGCACTTTTTGATAATCTATTAATCCTGAACAATCATCTGGATATTCCATGTATTTTAGGAAATAAAAAAAACTTGCACATACATTATTTTGTGTGCAAGTAAGTGTGTATGTGTTACAATGGTGCAGGTTGACTTGAACGCTAAAGGTCTTGCACTCCTAGGTAAGCTCCTACATGTTTTAAATACAGCTCAAATTAGCACCATGAGAGTCCTTTGTAAAAATCCTTAGAAATAACATCTTGCAGGAGACATTTCCTCCCCTGATGTGGATCTATGATTTTGGTTAATTTGTCTTATTCTGAAGGTCAAATCATGTACTTTGGACCTGGAGTAGTGCATGTTACACCTTTGGACAGAGATGAAACTTTGGAGTAGGCATGATGCTTGGGCAGGGACTAGTCCTTCAGTCATGTGTGCATTATGGTGCCCAAAGAAAATTTAATTACATATTCAGACATTTTGCTCATTGTTTTATAATAACCCAAAAGCAGGTATCATCTTTACACATCTTATTTTCTTTGCTTTCATTTTTATTTGCAAAAAAAGAGGAAGTCTTATATTTCCTAACAAATGATCATACTATTTTGTATGAGTGTGTATTTACAAAATGTATAAATGTGTATTTAAAGTTGTATGTGTGTATAATTGAAGAACAAAATTACAGTTCCTTATTCCAATCGATCCCCCAACCAACAATTGAACTCCAGAAGATTTTTTTTTTGGGGGGGGGGGAGATCAATCTGATTGATTACATTTTTCTTCTCTTTACTTTCTGTATTTGAGAAGTAAGGAAATCTGTGAGAAAGATGGGGAGGGGAAAAGAGCGGGCTCATAATACTTTACAGCTGGGATCACAAAGCTAATGCCAGGTCAAGAACCTGGCTTGTTAAGCATTCCTTTTAGAAACTGACAAAGATTACCCAAAGAAGGTGTGTGTGTGAATATCAGACAGATAATTCATAGTTTTCAGACATTTTCATTTTAGCATTCAAAATATCTATCTATTCATCTACCTATTTGATTTATTCCATCTGATTGAATAATGTGCTACACAGCCTAAAATACAGGAAAACACACTAACACCCAGTCAACAATTCTACATCTTGTGTGAATCTCAGATCTGGGTGGTACTGAGGTTTATTTGCTTTCAACTCTGAGGAGTCAAGAGAGCTGGTCATTCAGACTAAGTGTTCATTATAGCAGGGAAATGTTAATAAAACCCTGGAACCTTTTCCTTCTTTGGTTAATGGGTGAACCAGGCTGGTGTACTCTGGCTACTGCAGTCTTCCTAAGAGGCAAGCAGTGTAACAGGCTAAAATCTCTGTGTGTCTGTCTGCCTCTGTCTCTCTCTATCTATCTGATACAGATTTTCTCCATTACTGGGAGTCAGAGCAGTTCACAGTAAAAGTGCATTCCTCATTTGTCAAGGTGGACTAAGGTCATGTAAGCAAATCCGGGACCAGCTGAAGCTCTGTTAAATATAGCACGGAGAGGGGGTTGGTAATTATTTTGCACTAACTTGCACTGGCCTAACTTGTGCCAGCTTTGTGAGAATATCCCTGGTATGGAGGAAGTTATTTCCCTAGTCAAGCTGTATTGCACTTTTTTCTGCAGACATCCAGCTGCAACCTAGTAGAATGAAATAAACAAACAAAAGACTGGATGAAATAAGCATAAACTATTAACCAATTATTATGCATCTTCTCAGAATGCAAATGAAATTCCTATTCACCACCAGGCATTCCAGAACCCTTTCGAAATCTACCCTTTAAGAATCCTAACTTAAGATCTAAACTAGCCAGGAGCCTCATTCACCTTTTCCTTTGTTTAATCTACAAAGAGGAAGATGAGAACGCTCTTACTTGAACAAGAACTGTCAAGTTTCAGTGGTGAACAACAACAATGTGTCAGGCCATTGCCCCAAGCACTTTTCTTTCTACCTGTCTCAGACATCAGAAATGAGCCAGGAATTGAGAGAATTGCCTTGGGGAAAGAGAATGACATGGGGTAAGGCATGAGAGGTGGAGTTTCAGAACCACTCTCCACCTGCTCCTTCTCTTGTTAAACTATTTTATTTAACTATCTGCATTTTACATGCATATATTACATGGGGGGGGGGTGAAAAGTAACTCATGTCCACCACTATCTTATTTAATTTGGTCTCATTTTAGCCGCTGAAGTCCAACCCCCTTTCTCATTTAAATTTGGCAACATGAGATAGGTTTGGTTTTTTTTTTACATGAGTTGTGTGCACACACTCCAACGTTGCAGAGATGAGAGCTGGGGGCACATGTGAGCAAGCAACCTCAGAGTATGGTCAAGATAGCAAAAGTGACTAATGAGGAAGAAAGGTGGTAGCAGTTTGTTTTACTTGAATCTCTAAGAAAGGTTGAGGTGCCATCTATCCCCCATTTGAGTTAATTAAGTACAATTAACAACTGTACACAATGAACAATTGAGTTCATTGTGATGCTCCCTACCAGAGGCTCTTTAACACTATGCAATAGTCATTGCACTATTATTCCTCTTTAACTGCCATGGCTGCATCCTATGGAATGTTCTTACCACCCTCATCATAACCTTCATAACCCAGGATTCCACAGGATGTTGCCATGGTGATTACAATAAAATCTTGGTGCTTTAATGGTCAGGAATCAGAGTGCTATGATCCCATCTGACAGAACAACACACTCTGGGATTGCTTTCCCGCTGGAGGCCCAAATGGTACCAACATTGCTGTCATTCCAGCACAAAATGAATAATAGCGGTTTTGGTTCATTTGGACCTCCAGGGAGAAGATATTCTATAACTGGGCTGATACGGCAGAGAATGCCCTTCCTGCATACTTTCAGAACATGTTGTCCTGACAGATGAGAGAGAAAGGAGAGGGGTCTCCAGCAGATCAGTTCTTGGACAGTCATTCATAAACAGATAGATAGACAGACAGAGGTGAGAGCCAGTGCAGTAGTTTAGGCCAGACTTGGGGAATGTCTGGCCTGGGGGGCCTTATAAGTCCTCCAAAATCATTTGGTTTGCTGCTTGGTCTCCTAGCCAAATGCTAACCAAGTACTAACTTGGGTCTAGTGACTTTCACAAACTTCACAAAAAAACTAAATCTTAAATGAAGATTAAGGAAATTACAGTGCACAGAAAAGATCTCAAGAGTTGACGATACAAATATTGGATCTGTTCCAAATCCAAGGTGCAAGATTTATGCTGGTTTTGACCATAATAAAGAAAGATTTGAGATTTGAAGGTGCAAGATTAGAAAAGTGACCAAAACAAAATAATTCACACCTATCACTGCACACTGTGGCTGCTGTGGGTGAGGGAGCACTTTCAATGGCTTTCCTGGAAAAAGACCAGAGTTAAGCTGTGTGAGTTCTGAGGCAGGTTACATGGGGAGGTTGGAGCCACATGTTTTATAAGCCCCAGCTTCCCTCCTCTAGCCCTCTTTCTGCTTTTCAAGGTTGGATTGGCAGAAGTGCTGCATCACTCCATTGGATCCTTGGCCACAATTTGCATGGATCTTTTTTGCCTGCTTTGATGTGGTTGCAATGCTGGCATGGGGATGAAAATTGACTATTGAATTGGCAGCTTTGCTGGAAATGGGAGGCAGGTTGCTCTTTTTAAATAGGCCTCCTTGCTGTCTCTCCTTACAGTGGATAATAGAGTTCTAATTACTATGCCTTTGTCACTCAGGCATTTATCCTACAATTTGGGCTGCTTCTGTCCATGACAATTTTGGCATGCATTTCCCAGAAAGGCATAATGTAGAGGTGGGGAACATCTAGCCCACAGTCCATATAAGGCTCACAAAATGATTTAATCCAGCCCAGCATGGGGAAGGATGCCTTTTCCAGTCCACTCGCTTGGCCTGGCTTATTTTGCTTCTCTGAGCCACCATACTGACTCTTCTGAGGGCTGGTTTCTGCTTACCATTCAGACCCCAACCACTTCCAGGTTCCTCTCCTTGCATAGATGTGTCCTGCTTCTTCAACTCTTGCTTTTGCCAGCTGTGACAAAGACAGTAAGCATGTCCATATGCAGGTAGCTTCCTGTGTCACTTGGTCTTTGAAACTTTCATTTTATTTTAATATACAATTTAATAATGTATAATGATAGATAATTTCATAAAGCCCTAAACAGTTCTGGCCCAGTTTACTTGTCCAAAGGTGTCTCCCTCTATGAACCACCTTGGCAGTTTAGATTGTCTGGGGGAGGTTCTTCTCTCGGTGCCAACTCCTGTGCAAAAAACCCTTTGCATTAAGGTTGCCATAAGTTGACAGGTGGGATAACACTGTAAGTTGAAAAAGGCAACTTTTGTTAGAAGGATCCATCATTTTTATTGCTGCATAATATAAGTGTAAAGCATATTTAGGCCAAATGAAGGGTCATTGATCCTAGAGAAAGGAGGAGAGGAATAACTTGACGCTATGACCCATTCTGGAACTCTCCACTATATTATGTCTGCCAATTTCTGGTGTACTTCGTTTGAGATGTTAAAAAGGACAGGAGACTGAGACAAATCCAGTAGCAGAGGAAACACCCTTGGCAAGGTTACAGCTTCAGATAACACCATCAGCTTAAAGTGTCATGCCATGCTTAGTGCATTTTGTCTGTCATTCCACATGGGACTATTACCGTAATTGTTCTGTGTACACAAGTGGGTCACTTAGAAACAAAACCAATTTTAACATAATTCATTATAAAGGTGAGTTTGCATGGTCAAAATATGCTTATAACCTACACTTTGAGAGATAAATGGACAGGCATATCTTTCTCCATGTGTAGGTGTATAGATACAGCTAGGCATGCCCACATGTGTAAATACACATATTTATTCAACAAAGACTCCCCATTGAGCAATACCATTTACAAAGATATGGACAAATGCAAAATGCTTGTGTATGGAGGAAGAAAATGATCAGTTCAATACACCCTTCAATGCATCAGTAATTTTTAGTGGACACAAAAATATTTTAAAAGCTGGCAGATACCAAAGGAATCCCCATCCAGGCTGCTTTTGTTAATCCTTATGATATGCTTCACCATTGCATCTCTCAACCCTGGCTTTTTCCTCCTGCCTCCCCAGTGTCTAATACTTTTCCACACACTGGGCTGCTTTTTGTCCATTTCCCCACCACAGCCTGGTTTCCTCTATGGAATATCAAAGACATGGGCTCATACACTCACACACACAGACACCCTTTGATTTTCTATTCCCTGTGTGTGATTTTCTTTCTCTCTCTCTCTTGCTCCCCTTTTTATTTTAGGTGACATTGTTCTATTCACCAGACCTGTAACTTTAACAGAGGGTGACAGGGTGACCTTGACGACAGATGTTCTTATGGCAACAGATGGCACTGGTAAACCAGAGAAGCTGCTGTATGCCATTTCTGTGCCACCTGTGCATGGTCAGATTGAGTACATCAATTATCCCGGCGTGCCCATTCCCCGCTACAGCCAGTTGGATGTTGTGGCCCAGAAGGTCTGCTACATTCATGACAATAGCCACGAGGCTAGTAAGGATTCATTCAGGTGAGAAGGCCTACCCTTTTATATATATTTTTCTCTTCCCCATCCCATGTTTTAAATATGAAAAAATGTTCAGAAAACTAAGTGTTAATACAGCTTCGGAATAGCATTCAGTGAACAGTGATTGCAGTGTTGAGATGGCTGGCATGAAAATGCAAAAGAAATAAATATCCCATCATCAAGTACCAGCCATTGGTTGACTGTAATTTTTCAGGCTTTTCAGCCAGAAACTGTGGGAGAGGAGCATATTTTGTATGGCAATATATTTTAATGATTTTCTAATTAATTAGTACATCAAGGGAGAGCTATTTATACATTGCCGTATAAGCCTGCCTTCCCCCCTTTCCCAGGCACACTTTCAACTTATTTGGTGGCAGAGGAGGTACATTGCTAATTCAGTTACTGTTATTCTCCATCTGAAACTGTAGTTGCTCTCTGGGGTAGTTTTTTTTTCCAGTCAGCAGGAGAGAGAAAAATCCACAATATTGTCTGAAATCATTGGTAGAAGTTAATCCAGATGGTGGTGTCATTTCTAAAGAAAAGCATATGTTGGCTATTATGGTACTTAAATGTAATGGTTTTATATACCTCAAGTGGGCAGAATGGGAGGGGGGAATACAGCAGAATTTTTTCTTGCTCTCTCTATGTCTCTCCCAAGTACAACAGAAAATAGATTTCATCTCTTTTGACTGAATTTCCGACCAGATGTGACAACTGTAATGGATTAAAAACCTATTAATGCCATCTCCCCTGCAAGAAAGAAGGGCCCATATTGTTTAAATCAGTAAGAGGTTACTGACTTAATTTATCACTCACTTGAGTATTATTGCATTCTAGGTATTTTGGTATTTTTCACACACACAGGAGCTATACATATATTGTTTGTAACTATCAACATCAGGACCCTGGCACTAAATTTCGATTGCTTTGGAGGAGCATGATGAAGGGCAAATATGTGGGGAGATGGCTAGGGTGTCCAAGTCTTTCATTGTTTTGCTAAGAACAGCACTGAATCCCTATAGGTGGAAAAGTTTTTTTTAGGGTAGTTCAGGAAAGGACAGACAGAAATAGCCCCCCCCCCCCCCAATTATTTTGCCATTTCAATCACCACCTCCTGAAACTGTTTTTCCTAAAAATAAAAAAATGATGCTGTGCCCCTTAACTTGTTTCTTCCTTCCATTTTCAAACTCACAGTTATTTATACTCTCTTTGCCACCAAATAGACACTCAAGCTAATTTTATTCTTGCAATGATTAAGTGTGTATACTTTCTTCAGAAATGGGTTAAATTAACAAGAGGAAGAAAGAATCAGTAAATCATGCAAACAGCCTCTTTCTAAGTGAGGTTAAGACCATAGTTAAATAAATCATAGACCTTAAATCTTTATCCATTTTTTTTGGCATGCGGAAAATATTTTCTTCTTTCAAGAGGATGCTATCTAGTCTTGGCTAAGTAGAGGTGGAAAAAATTGGTTGAGTCTGTGATTCTTTTCAGGTATCCTCTTCACATCTCTTAAGACTCATTAATTTGGAAATATGCATACTTGTGAATCCTTCATTGTATTTTGGAGAAATAAAATACTTATAACTATACTTTCTTTGGTGAGAAACTGTTATTAAAAATCTGTGGTTCGGAAAGATGTGTGATTACAATCCTGACTTGTACAATAAGGGTATTTAGTTTATATTCCATTCCCTAACCCTTTCTCCCCTCCTCTCCTTTCCTGTCTATATTTTACTTCCTTTCTTGTTGATCAACCTATTTACCTCCTCTTCCTTAAGACTTCAATTTTTCTCTTTGCAAAATAGGAGCAGCAAAACAACACAAAATACAGCTGTTGGTAGTTCTCCCATCTACCGACAATGAGGGAAAACTAATAGGATCAATTATGCAACTTGAATTCTTTGCCTACTTGCTTAGAGTTACAAAATCATAGAATTGGAAGGCACCACCAGGAGCATCCAGTCAAACTCCCTGCCATGTAAAAATACAAAGTCTAACCTATCCAACTTCTATCTAAAAACCTCCAGAGGAGACTCTGGCCCCATCTACACTTCTAGATAATCCAGTTTCTGAATCCAGATTATTGGATTTGAACTGGATTACATGACAGTGTACATTTATATAATCCAGTTCAAATAAAATAATCTGGATTCAGATACTAGATTATATGGCAGTTCATCCTCCACCACACTCTGAAGCACTATATTCCACTGTCAAATAGATCATACAATTAAGAGTTTTTTCCCCCTAATGTTTAGATGGAATATCTTTTCATGTACTTTGAATTCATTGTTCTGTGTCTTAGGATCTCATCACATGGATGTTTTCCCCATCCTCACTCCATTTTTGCATGCTGGCAAAATAGAGTCCCATGGAGGCCATCTAATGATACATGGCTGCCCTTGGGAATCTGTCTTTCCAGCATGCTACAAGGGAGAGAAGACGCCATTTTCAGAAGTTGGGTGTTACCTGATTCCAGAAAGTGGGGAGAAGTGAGCAAAAGTGGGAAGAAAACCAGGAAAGGTCATGGTATGGCTGTCCATCTCTGAAGACAGACCTGGCCAGGAGAGAGTGGGGTAAGACGGTTTCCCCACTTTTCCCAACACTTTCCCCTGCTTTCCCCTGCTTCCCCCTGCCTGTCTGATGAAATCCTTAGTCTCTGAAAGAACAGAAAACATATTTTCTGCCTCCTCAATATGATATCCTTTCAAATATTTAAACATGGCTATCACATTACCTGTTAACTCTCTCTTATCCAGGCTAAACATACCTAGCTCCCTTAGTTGCTTCTCAGAGGACATTGGTTCCATATATTTCATTATTTTGGTTGCTCTTCTCTTGACAGAGTTCAGCTAATCAATATTCTTGAATTTTGCAGCCCAGAACTGCCCAGCAGTATTCCAGAGGAGTTCTAGTTAAATAGGAATATCCTTCGATGTAGACACCACACTCCGATCAATGCAGACGAGAATCACATTGGCTTTTTTAGCTGCTGTGCCAGACACAAGGTAGACAGTGAAAGCTGAGACAGGATCAAAGGAGATGAGCTGACTCAGTGCCAACAGTAACATCTTTCTCGCATTCTCTAGGTTGCTGAAGTTCATTGTGTATAACTGGATACAAGGCTTTTATTTCTTTAGTAGAGAACATGCCCCTGTTTAACCATAGACCTAAGATTCCTCCCATGCAAAAAGGGAAGTTTACAAATGTGAAATGTTGAACTTGCCCTCTAATAAATTTACTGAGTAAAAGCAAAGGCCAATGGTACACACAGGAACTGAAGAACTTTTCAAAAGCTTCAGATTGTCAAAGTGATGCAGCCATTCTGTTCACTGGGGCTGGTTGCATGGAGCTCCATTTTTCTCTTGTTGCAATAGTTTCACCAGAAATAGTTCCATTTCCAAGGGTATGATATTTATTTATTTTATTTATTTATTTGACTTGTATACCGCTACTCCCAATTTGGCTCGGAGCGGTTTACAGCAGTAGATTAAAACAATACAATTAACTTTAAAATACAATAAAACAAGAACAGACATAATCCCGAGTTATTCACCCATCAAAAGCTTGTCAGAAGAGAAAGATTTTACAGGCTCTCCAAAAAGCAAGTAGGTCTCGGATAGTTCGGGTTTCAACTGGCAAGGCATTCCATAAATAAGGGGCTACAATCGAGAAGGCTCTCTGCCTACTAGAGGACAGATGATAAGTCTGGATGTTGGGGACTTCAAGCAAATTTTGGTCTTTGGACTGAAGTAATCTCTCGGGTTGGTAGGGGGATAAGCGGGCCCTCAGGTACGCCAGCCCCAGACCATATAAGGCCTTAAAGGTTAGTACCAGCATCTTGAAAGTAATCCGGTACTCAATCGGTAGCCAGGGCAGCTGTTGTAGAATTGGGGTGATACGACACCTCGCTGGCACCCTGGCAAGAAGACGAGCCGCCGCATTTTGCACCAGCTTCAGTTTTTGGATCACTGACAAAGGAAGGCCAATGTAGAGGGCATTACAGTAGTCAAGCCTCGAGATGACCGTAGCCAGGTCGTTCCTAGATAGGCAGGGAGCCAGTCGCCTAGCCTGATGTAGATGGAAAAACGCAGATCTGCTCACAGCAGAGACCCGGGCCTCCATTGTGGGCAGAGGGTCCAATAAGATACCAAGACTTTTATATGAGCTATAAAACCTGATATGACTTGGTTTAGGTTGTCTGAAGGACTGAATCTCCTGTATGGATCTGCAAAGTTTTCATATCTTTTAGGGAATCCTTCCTTTTGGAACCTTATCACAAATACTATTTTGCAAAAAAAATTAAAAATAAAAATAGGAGGGACAGCAGAGCAAATCCATTGCCCCATGGACATAAGGAGCATCACCCAAGGGCTGAGTATTTGTGCTGGCTCCATTGGAGCCAGCACAACATGGGCAGGCTCCTGTGTTGAGAGGGAAGCATCATATGACTCTTCCACTCCACTTGTGGTCCAGTGAAATCATGGGAACTGCAGCATGCACATCCATCACTAGACTGGCAGTAAAGTGACCTACGATAATTAAAAAGCCCCATCTGGTGAGGTTACATGTCCCATATATCCCCAAGGACATCTAATGAGAATATAAAAGTATGGTTTCTCACTGGACTATTCCTTTAGCTCTGGAACTTTCTGTGTAGTTAAGGTAACTTGTTTTCCTTCATGTAGTCTTTTTTTTTTTGTAAAACTTTTTATTCAGGGATGTCTTTGGCAGCTGGCCATGTTTGTTGTAGAAAAGGTTTTTCAAATGAAGACATGCTTTATTTTGCTTTTACTGATGTATTTTTAAATTTTTCATGAATTATTCATTTTATGTATTTGTACTATTTTACTGAGGTCCATCTACGAGAGGAAAGTGACATACACATCAACAAGTAAATAATTAAAATATTTTTTTCTGTGGCAGAGGAACCATTCTAGAATTGACAAGATACCATGGAAACCATTTTGTTTTAGTATCCAGATCTCTTTCTCTCTCAA